ACTCCCCATGGTGGCATTCGTCCCATCCTCGGTACACACCACCTGTCTACAAGGCACACGTCAGGCTGTTCTCCAGACAATCCGGAACTGGGCCGAGGACGATACTTCGGATAAGCCAATATTCTGGCTTTGCGACATAGCTGGCTCTGGCAAGTCCACGGTCGCAATGTCAGTAGCGACGTTGTGCCGCACGGAGAGAACTTTAGGAGGCCAGTTTTTCTTTTCAATGTCCAGTAACGATACGTCGACCACCGAAAAGTTCTGTTCGACTATGGCAAGATCTTGTCCATCACATTCCAGAACTCGCACCGCACGTCGCCGATACTGTGAAGCGAAATCCTTCGATCATGCGAAGCTCACTTGAAAAACAGTTCCGCACACTCATCACCGATCCACTCCGCCATCGACAGGAGCGTGTAGTTCTCATTGTCGACGCTATAGACGAGTGCAAATCCGGACCTCAGCGAAGGGAGCTTCTCGACACGCTCGCTAAAGCCGTTCAAGAAAGCAGGAACGTCAAGATCTTCATTACGAGTCGGCCAGACCCTGTCATCGAATCAGTTCTTCGGCCACTCTCGATCAAATCTAAACTGGAAGACCGTCTCCACGATATCAAACATCGTGACAACGTGGATGACATCGCGGCCTATGTCCACCAATCACTCTACACCGTTCTGCCCCAGGACAAGAGGCAACGGCTGATTGAGAAGTCGAGCGGATTGTTCATCTGGGCCAGTACTGCGTGTCGGATGCTCAATAACGAGGCCACGTTGGAAAGCCACGAGAGGATATATGATCGCTTAATCTCGGCGGACCAAACTGGAGATATAGATGATGTATACAAACTCATCCTCGAGCGCATACCCCCAGAACACAATGCCATGCTGTGCAATATGCTCGCACTGCTGCTTGCTGCATTCGAACCCCCTACCGTATACGATCTGGACGACATTCTCCAACACACCGGAATAGGCGGGAGTGCCAAGGCGTTGGTCCAAAGCCTTGGAAGCGTTCTTATCGAGGACAAAACAACAAAAACCATTCAATTTCGTCATCCTACTCTAGTCGAGTATTTGCGACGTCGCTGTATCGCTCAATCCCGAAGCCCGAACAAAGTCTACATCGACATCCACAATGCACATGGGCAGCTTTCGTCGTGGTGTTTCAATAATCTCGAATCACGAAAGGAAGGACTCAAGTTCAATATATGTGGAGTTGAGTCGTCATTCTACCGAAACCGAGATTTCCTGGATCTGGAGGCGAGAATATCAAGGTCTATTCGAAGAAACCTTCGATATTCCAGTTTACATTGGCCATTTCATATTGCCCAAGCAGATATCGAGTGGAGAAGCAAGCTCGGAAATAAAATCGAGCAGATTATTCGTGCGCCATATGCACTATATTGGATGGAGGTTCTGAGCTTCGTTGGGGGAGTGTCTCGGGCCATTGACGGCCTTCGGGCCATGATACACAATACAGTGAGTGCCTCATTTCAGTACATTCTTGCCCTTGATTTAACACGACATGAAGACGGAAGAGGAGACTAAGTGTCGTATAACGGACTTAAGGCAGTTTATGATGGCATTTTCAGTACCTATTCAAGAAAGTGCACCGCATATCTACATTTCGGCGCTTCCATTCACGCCAACAAGATCTACACTACATATTGAGGGCCTAACGATGCATGGAAACACCCTCAATGTGACCAACGGGCGGGAGGAGAGATACCGGGGACTTCCAGAAGCGCTTCGAGGACATACAAAGTCTGTGACGGCGATCGCATTCTCACCAGACGGCTTGCGAATCCTCTCTGGCTCAGAGGATAATACAATTCGACTATGGGACGCGGAGACTGGTCAGTCATTGGGCGAGCCACTGCGAGGTCACACAGGCTCGGTCAATGCCGTCGCATTCTCACCAGACGGCTCCCAAATTGCCTCTGGGTCTAACGATGAGACAATTAGACTATGGAATGCGGAGACTGGCCAGTCGTTGGGAGAACCATTCCGAGGCCACCAAGGCTCGGTCAATGCTGTCGCATTCTCACCAGACGGCTCCAAAATTGCCTCTGGGTCTAACGATGACACAATTCGACTATGGGATGCGGAGATTGGCCAGCCGCTGGGAGAGCCACTTCTAGGCCACACACGGTTGGTCAGCGCCGTCGCATTCTCACCAGATGGATCTCGGATTGTCTCTGGCTCATACGATAGCACAATTCGACTATGGGATGCAGACACCGGCCAGACGTTGGGAGAGCCCCTCTCAGGCCACACAGACTGGGTCACCGCTGTCGCATTCTCACCAGACAGCTCGCGAATCGTCTCTGGCTCCTACGACACCGAAATTCGACTATGGAACGCGGAGACTGGCCAGCCGTTGGGAGAGCCACTCCGAGGACACACACGCATGGTCAGCACCGTCGCATTCTCACGAGCAGGCTCGCAAATAGTCTCTGGGTCGGATGATCACACGATTCGACTATGGGATGTGGAGAGTGGTCAGTCATTGGGAGAGCCACTACGAGGCCACACGCGCTTGGTCACCTCTGTTGCATTCTCACCAGACGGGTCGCGACTCGTCTCTGGGTCGAATGATCACACGATCCGACTATGGAACGCGGAAACTGGCAAATCGTTGGGACAGTCACTCCACGGCCACACAGACACTGTCACTACCGTTGCAATCTCGCCAGGAGGCTTGCAAATGGTCTCTGGGTCGGTGGATAAGACGATTCGACTATGGAATAGGGAGACTGGAGAGTCAGTGGGAGAGCCGCTCCGAGGCAGTACTCACTCGGTCACAGCGGTCGCATTCTCACCAGACGGCTCGCAAATTGTCTCTAGCTGGAATCAACGCACGATTCAACTATGGAACGCGGAGACTGGCCAACCATCGGGAGACCCACTCCAAGGCCATACACATTGGGTCAACTGTTGCATTCTCACCAGACGGCTCGCAAATCGTCTCTGGGTCATCAGATAAGACGATCAGATTGTGGAGCGTATCCACTGGCCAGTTGTTGGGCGAACCACTCCAAGGTCACACACAGAGTGTCAATGCCGTCGCATTCTCACCAGACGGCTCCCAAATTGTCTCTGGGTCAAATGACGAAACGGTTCGGCTATGGAGTGTGGAGAATGGCCAGTCTTTAGGAAGTCCTCTCCGAGGCCATATATGGGCGGTTCTCGCGGTCGCATTCTCACCGGACGGCCTGAGAATTGTCTCTGGGTCGGGTGATAACACGATTCGCCTATGGAATGCGGAGACTGGCCAGTCGTTGGGGGAGCCACTACGAGGCCACACAGGCTTAGTCACCACTGTCGCATTCTCACCAGACGGCTTGCAAATTGTCTCTAGTTCGTACGATAATACGATTCGACTCTGGGACGCGGAAACAGGCCAGTCTTTAGGAGAGCCACTACGAGGCCACACAAACTCGGTCAATGCCGTCGCATTCTCTCCAGATGGCCTACAAATCATGTCAGGCTCAACCGACTGCACAGTTAGGCTGTGGGACGCAGCATTTGGTTCGTTTCACTTCATTTCCTTTTCACCGTGACGCCAAAAGCTCATAGATCTCCTAGTTGAGGTATTCTTAAAGTCGGGATGGTTCCCTGAGCCGCTCAAATCAGAGTGGCATCATCTTCGATCAAAATTCCATGGCTTCACTCAGAGCCATGCTCTGAGCTTCGAATATTTCCTCTCTGATGATGGTTGGGTGCATCTCTCCGGGAAACTTCTATTCTGGGTACCACCAAACAATCGGCTCGCACTAGCGGCCCGCTACTGCTAACCATGCCGACGTCCAGCCCTCCCTACCCAACCAAAATAGATTTCACTGTTTCGAGGTGGCGCCTCTTGGACAAAAGTTCGGGGTGGCGTCAATCAATGAACTGTAGTGAGCGAGAACAGGATCATGATTTTACTCTCATGCTTGCGAGTCTCAGCTAGTAAGCCCCATCGTCTTGCGGTCCAAACATCCTGGGATGAATAGTTCCATACCATGACCATCGTGTTCAATCCGTACCTGTTCGTATTCTGGAACAGCTATATGTCGGAAACATATTCTCATGTTTGACTGTTTCCTTCGTCCTCCGTGTCATCTTCTTGGAGACCGACCGACTCGTGCGTGAGTCGTTTCGATACTGGGCCGACATTCCGATCCAGCTGCATTGTGTGATAGAGCGTGGACAATTGCAGGTACTGGTCTTGATGCGGGCGCAACTGCAGGTTCTGTCAAGGCACTGCCCAGTGGGTCGGGTGGCGGGTCAGAGGCTAGAGGCGGGTCGCTCTTTCTGACAAAATCCCGGGCGAAACCCGGTCCAGTGAATATTATCTGAAATTCCTGTCAGAGATATATTAGGGAAAGAGCGAGAAATGCCGACCTTTGTGTATGTGAACAAACATAGCGGCGAATAGACAATAGAATATGGATAAGACGCCTGTCAAATGACGAATATTGGCCATCGAAGTTGCATGCGAGTAGATATAATGTACGAACCTCCAGCCGGAAAGCCAACGAGAGCGTTTGCTCGTCCCTTCCAGCAGCGCAAGAGGATGATGCCCCAGAATACATAGCTAATCCAGGCGAATAGCGCTATGGCAACTGCTACGGTAAACTTGGCATCGTCAGGAGTGAGCAATCGCAGCGAGCCTCGACCGGGAATAGTGTACAAGGAGCGCCAGGCCGGGCTCAATGGTCGTCGTGGGCTCTTAGCATAATAACTCTATGGATACAACTGTAGTATATTTTGATATTCACGTATGCAAACACGCAGAAACGGGGTGAAACTAAGCAGTCGCCCACTGCCTCGACAGTAGATGATGCAGAATAAGCAGATGCAAATATTTTGTCCATTTTCTGTGATATGTCCCACCAGGAGACAGTCGGCCTCTGGGCCAAGGTTGATGGTCGATGTGCTGCCTGTTGTTGCCCAGCTCGCAGAACACGCGGGCGAGAGTGGCAGGCGCCGTCCTTGGAGCCATCCACTTTGACAATGCCACCTCGAAAGTCGACCAAACCGAATCAGAGTCCTCTACTGCTGCAGGGAGATCTTCAAGAAAGAGGATCAGTTACAAACAACGGCCAGTATCGCACTGGATATAGTCGCAAATGTAACAGGGGTGTCGGATATCCTCGCTCCTCTCACGGCAGCCTGCAAAACAACAAAGTCGATCATTGATGTCAAGCAAGTAGACGCGCCCGGAATAGCACTGGCTGATCAACTGACAGACTATCGACGATAATCAAGGAGACTGGAACGACCTAGTACGCCGCCTGGAGGAATATATGTGGGCTATTGAGAGCCAAATCGACTCTCTCGAAAAGTATCCTCCAGAAGATAGAGTCGTCGACGAAGCCTTTAGCCAGCCACTCATTCGTTATGTCGAGTAAGTCGGCACATCAACTCTGGCCCTGCCGACTGATTTCCTCAGACTTCTCGAGGATATTCATTGCGCGATCGTCAATAATGCGCATAAGAGACCTCGCACCAGGCGCAGTGCTGTTATGGCCATCGGGAATGTGAAGATTGACGCTGGACTCATTCGCAAGTTCAATCGAGATATCGAGGACCGGCATAGGCAGTTCATGGTGAGATTCTCAGGCCATATAATCGTAATCTCACATGCAAAATAGGAGGCGTTGGCTCTTTTCACAGGTCATCGTATCCAGGTCATCGAACAGCACACTAAATCGACAGCGGCCAAGGTTGAAACAATCGTCTCGGACAGTAAGCTAAGACTTGTCTATAGACGCCTCGCTAAACACCCCAAGTCGATGCATCTTTCATATGCCAACTCCAGGTCGTGGCATTCGTCCCGTCCTCAGTCCATAGCACCTGTTTACAAGGGACTCGTCTGGATGTTCTCGAGAAAATCAAGACATGGGCCGAAGACGATACATCTGATAAACCAATATTCTGGCTCTGCGACGTAGCCGGTTCGGGCAAATCCACCGTCGCAATGTCGGCAGCGGAGACGTGGCGTGCGGAGGGAACCCTCGGAGGCCAGTTCTTCTTTTCAATCGCAAACAGCGAGACGTCGAATACCGAAAAGTTCTGCTCGACGAAAGCGGGTAGTTCTCATCGTCGACGCCGTGGATGAATGCAAATCCGGACCGCAACGAAGCGAACTTCTCGACACGTTCGTCAAAGCCGCTCGAGAAAGCAGGAATCTCAAGATCTTCATTACCAGTCGGCCAGACCCTGTAATTGAATCAGTTCTTCAGCCACTCTCAATTAAATCCAAGCTCGAAGATCGGCTCCACGATATCACTTACCGTGACAACATGGATGACATCGCCACCTATGTCCATGAATCACTCTACACCGTTCTGCCCGAGGACAAGCGGCAACAGCTCATTGAGAAGGCGCACGGATTATTCATCTGGGCGAGCACCGCATGTCGAATGATCAATAGCAAGACAGCATGGGACACCCCCGAGACTATATACGACTGGTTGACTTCGGTGGACCAAAGTGGAGATATAGACGATGTATACAAGCTCATTTTTGAGCGCGTAGACCCCAGATTCCACACGGTCATGTGCGGCATGCTGGCACTACTGCTTGCCGCATTCGAACCACTGACCGCCAACGACCTCGACAACATTCTTAAGCATATCGGACTACGCGGATACTCCGATGCGTTGATTCGGAACCTTGGAAGTGTCATATACAGGACAAAGCAACAAAAGTTATTCAATTTCGTCATCCGACTCTTGTTGAGTACCTGCAACGCTGCTATGACACTCCAGTCCCCGAAGAATCAAGCAGCATCTACATCAACATTCACGATGCACATGGTCAAATTGCGTCGTGGTGCTTCAGTAACCTTCAATCGACAGGAGGACTCAAGTTCAACGTATGTGAAATCGAGTCGTCGTTCTATCGAAACCGAGATCTACCGGATCTAGAGGCGAGTATCCAAGTTTATTGGAAGAAACCTTGGATATTCCAGTTTACATTGGCCGTTTCATATGGCCCAGGCGGATAGTAATTGGAGAAGCAAGCTCAGAAATGAGCTTAGGCAGATGATTCGGATCCCATACATATTATACTGGATGGAGGTGCTGAGCTTCATCCAAGGGGTTCCTCGAGCTATAGATGGCCTTCGGGCTATGACTCGAGATACTGTGAGTGCCTTATCTCGACACATGCTCATTGATTGACACGAATAAAAGACTGAGAAAGAGACAAGAAGTCGCATAATGGATGTGAGACGATTTATGATGGCATTTTCAGTACCTATTCAAGAGAGTGCTCCACATATCTACGTCTCGGCGCTTCCATTCACTCCTATAGAATCATACCTGCATATGGAGGGCTTAGATATGTATAAGGGCACTCTCAAGGTGACAAAAGGGCTCGAACAGAGATACCGAGGACTTCCAGAAGCACTTCGTGGACATACAGAAGTGGTCGAGACAGTCGCATTTTCACCAGACGGCTCGCGAATCGTCTCTGGGTCGTGGGATCAGACAATTCGACTATGGGATGCGGAGACTGGCCAGTCGTTGGGAGAGCCACTCCGAGGCCACACAGGCCCGGTCACCGCCGTCGCATTCTCACCAGACGGCTCGCGAGTCGTCTCTGGTTCGGATGATCAGACGATTTGACTATGGGATGCAGAGACTGGCCAGTCGTCGGGAGAGCCACTCCGAGGCCACACAGGCGCGGTCACCGCCCTCGCATTCTCACCAGATGGCTTGCGAATCGTCTCTGGGTCGTGGGATGACACAATTCGACTATGGGATGCAGAGACTGGCCAGTCGTTGGGAGAGCCACTTCGAGGCCACACAGGCGAGGTCAGCGCCGTCGCATTCTCACCAGACGGCTCGCGAATCGTCTCTGGGTTGTGGGATCACACAATTCGGCTATGGGATGCAGAGACTGGCCAGTCGTTGGGAGAGCCACTTCGAGGCCACACAGGCGAGGTCAGCGCCGTCGCATTCTCACCAGACGGCTCGCGAATCGTCTCTGGGTCGGATGATCAGACGATTCGACTATGGAATGCAGAGACTGGCCAGTCGTTGGGAGAGCCACTTCGAGGCCACACAGGCGAGGTCAGGGCCGTCGCATTCTCACCAGACGGCTCGCGAATCGTCTCTGGGTCATGGGATAATACGATTCGACTATGGAATGCGGAGACTGGCCAGTCGTCGGGAGAGCCACTTCGAGGCCACACAGGCGAGGTCAGCGCCGTCGCATTCTCACCAGACGGCTCGCGAATCGTCTCTGGCTCGTGGGATGACACAATTCGACTATGGGATGCAGAGACTGGCCAGTCGTTGGGAGAGCCACTTCGAGGCCACACAGGCCCGGTCAGCGCCGTCGCATTCTCACCAGACGGCTCGCGAATCGTCTCTGGCTCGTGGGATGACACAATTCGACTATGGGATGCAGAGACTGGCCAGTCGTTGGGAGAGCCACTTCGAGGCCACACAGGCGAGGTCAGCGCCGTCGCATTCTCACCAGACGGCTCGCGAATCGTCTCTGGGTCGTGGGATCACACAATTCGGCTATTGGATGCAGAGACTGGCCAGTCGTTGGGAGAGCCACTTCGAGGCCACACAGGCGAGGTCAGGGCCGTCGCATTCTCACCAGACGGCTCGCGAATCGTCTCTGGGTCATGGGATAATACGATTCGACTATGGAATGCGGAGACTGGCCAGTCGTCGGGAGAGCCACTCCGAGGCCACAGTGGTGTGGTCAACGCCGTCGCATTCTCGCAAGATAGCTTCCTAATTATGACCGGCTCTGCAGACTCCACAGTTAGACTGAGTGACACCGCGTTCGGTTCGTTCCACTTTACCCCTGTTTCACCGTCATGCTTTAAGCTCACAAATTCCCCTAGTTCAGCCATCTAGTCCGAATGGTCACCTGAGCCACTCAACTGAGGGCAGCATCATCTCGCATCAAAACTTCATGGCCTTACTCAGAGTAATTCTCTCCCATATTCGAAGATTTCCTCTCTCTGATGATGGTTGGGTGCATCTCTCCGGTAAACTTCTGTTCTGGGTACCACCAGACAATCGGCTCTCATTAACGTCTCCATTACTGCTCACTATACCGACATCCAGCCCTCCTTACCCCACAAAAATTAGATTTCACACGGTTTGAATACGGCTCTTCTTGGACAAACGTTCGAGGCAACGTCAATCAATGAACTGTAGCGAGCGAGAACAGGATCATGATTTTACTTTCGTACTTGCGAGACTCAGCTAGTAAGCTCCATCGTCTTGCGGGTCCAAATGTTCGGGGATAAATTGTTCCACACAATGATCATCGTGTCCAAACTGTACCCGTTCATATTCTAGACCAGCTATATATCAAAAATATAATCCCAGATCTATAAATCATGCGAGTCCATGGGATCGTCACCGAAGCTCCAGGGGCCAATCTCGTCTTCTCATCCATCGGCCCCGCTCATCGAAACGCGGGTTGAGCGGATAATCAAGACCAGCACGCGAGGTGTCGCCAATCGGCACTTTGGTATTGTAAGCCATTTGAATCTCAACATGGAAGAGAATACGTACGAAACCATGTCCATGGATTATGTCCCATGACCGCCTCCCAGTTGGCACGACCAGATCCCAACCTACCCAATCGTCAGGAAGGAAAACGATAGGAATAAAGACGCACCACCACAAATTTCCCTCCTTGCCTATTCTGCCCCACTCCTCGTCCCACCGCTCCCGCAGTGCCTTTCTCCCTTTGAACCCAGCTGGAAGTCCCAGTTCCTTGACAGCATCACCCGCACCACTGCGCCAAGGAGAGTCATCTTTTCGTCCTAAGAGCCCTCCATTCTCATGCGAACCCATTCCAAGACATTGACAGACAGGAATCGCCTGACTCAGCACGGCTCGTTCGCGTTCTCGCATATTTTGTATGCCATGCCATTCGACCGTACTCGCGTTTCGACGGAGGAGATGAACATGCGTGAAGAGCATACCGGATGAGAAGAGGCAGAGCAGTCCAGAGATGATGATGAGTGCGAGAAAGTTGCCGTCTATACCAATACTATCAAATGTTGCTGGTGCATTTGATGGGATATGAGTTCCGGTCGCTTTTTGCACAATGGCCGCGATGAGAAGGCCAATTGTGTAGAGAAGATAGAGGGTGCACCAGAAGAGAAAGACAACGAAGAACTAGTAATGGTCAGTCGCGTCCACAAGCGTCATAGAGTCTGACCAACCTTTCGATTTTGCGCTCCTACACATCCACCAATCCATGGACAGTGATGGTCATAGCCTAGAACACACTACAAAGGTTAGTACGTCTTCTCCTGCGACGACGAACAGGGCTCACTGTGTTGCATATCCGACAATGATGTGCTCTCATCGGTTTGATAATCATATCTCTCGAGCAATATCGGTAATATGGATCCAGGATTGGCATATCAGATGGCCTTCGACTCCATCTCGACAAAATAGGTGGCAAGTCGTCTAAATATGGCTGAGGTCGTGCAATCTCATCTTCTCCGAACGGCTCTGTCCGGCCGCTTACATCAAAATTTGGATGACGCGCAGACGGAGCGAGGCCAGGCGTAGGCATAGCCGAAGCAGAAGGCGTCGGCATCGTCGTAGGGACATTTGGCGTCTTGACACCAGACTTGGAATTGGTTCGTGAGTGCGTTTGCGAAGAGAGTCTCGGAGGTTCAAAGATGTAGGATGACGATTCGAATCGATAGCCGCTCGTGCCCGTCTTGATAGGCGGAGGACGCTTGGTCATTGTGGATGGGAAAGAGGAAAGTCCGGGCGATGCTGGAGGCGAGTTGGACTGGTGGCTACTCAAGCTATTACCACGGGTAATCTTGAGCGGTTTCGACTTTTGAGTCTTGATAGACTCTGTCGGTCGAGTTTCAGCAGACACTCGTGATGATGAGAAGGATGGTTTTGGTTGGGACTGGGTCGGGGTTGGGATCGAATTTGCGCTAGTCCGTTTCGAGTCTTTACGGAGAACGGCGGGCTTGGGTTGCGATATACCATTCGGAGACGTAGGCGTCGTCGGAGAATGTGGTTCAGTCTGTTCTCGGATGGTATGAGGTGTCGGTGGAATGGCCGTTGTGCTGCCGGAGCGAGTATGTCCATTCGGACGTACGCTCATGGCTTCATATGGAACACCGATAGTTTGACTGTTTCCTTCGTCCTCCATGTCGTCTTCTTGGAGACTGGCCGATTCGTGGGTGAGTCGTTCCTCGATACTGGGCCGATATTCCGATCCAGCTGCATTGTGTGATGGAGGGTAGACAATTGCAGGCACTGGTCTTGATGCGGGCGCAGCTGCAGGTTCTGACAAGGCACTGCCCAGTGGGTCGGGTGGCGGGTCAGAGGCCAGAGGTGGGTCGCTCTTGGTGACAAAATCCATGGCGAAACCTGGTCCAGTGAATATTATCTGAAATTACTGTCAGATGCATCCGAGAAAGAGCGAGAAATGCCGACCTTTGTGTATGTGACGACAAACATAACGGCGAATAGGCCATAGAATATGGATAAGACGACTGTCAAAAGACGAATATTAGCCATCGAGGTTGCGTACGAGTAGATATAATGTACGAACCTCAGCCGGAAAACCAACGAGGCATCCGCTCGTCTCTTCCAGCAGCGCAAGAGGATGATGCCCCAGAATACATAGCTACTCCAGGCGAATAGTGCTATGACGACTGCTACGGTAAACTTGGCGTCGTCAGGAGTGAGCAATCGCAGCGAGCCTGGGCCTCGTACTGACCTTCCGCTCTAGCCATGGTTTAGGCCCCGTACGCCGTCTGTCCTTTCGTCTGCCTTGCTATTGCAACTTCGAAGGAAGTGGAGATGCATGAGCACGGATTGCTGGATTTTGCGTGTGCTCGCCGCTTTGCAGACTTTGTCGTGGACTTGGTGCGGTTGGTGTGCGTCGAGGTCGACATGAACGACGACCGGAATAGCAGCTGACGCTGGAGGGCGTGTACAAGGAGCGCCAGGTCAAATGGATCCGTCGTGGTAGACTCTAAGCCAGGGTTTGTGATGCATCTGTTAACTGCGATAGGCCTGATTGCCATTTATGGTAATTGACTACAAGCCCCATATGTAGACTTCTAGTGAGTACGCTGCGTCATAGTGGCGCATCATAGTGGCCCATCTTGACCACTTACTCTGTCGTTTTCCACTTGGTTTTGGACATGGCATCCCTCACATCCACGTCCATTCGATACCCCATGTTCTGCCTGTTGCTCCTGCTCGCGTATGCTAATGCCTTTACCTTTCGTTTCTCGTCTCCACCAGCCCAATGCGCCCGTATGAGAGCCATTTGGCAAGGAGGCTCTCCACCGTACACGCTCCTCATGGTCCCAGTCGACTTTATGCCCCAGGGAACAGAAACTAGAGTCATCTTTGAACGCACCGTCACCACGGGTAATCAACTCGAGTTTACATTTCCCTTTCCTGCGCGTACAAGGTAACCTTCTTTGCTATTGCCTTGCTGTCCTTGCTAATGCCATCCAGATTTGCAGCCATCATGAGCGACTCGACGGGCTTTGGCACTGGAGGAACGTCGCCTCTGCTCACCGTTCAATCCTCCAACTCGTCATCCTGTCTATCCACCACACCCTCGGCCCCCGAATTCTACTTCTTCCTCTCGTCACCTACACTCACCCAATGCTCGCCTGTTCATATTTCATGGGACACTCCCTCTGCTCCACCAGTCACTGTCTATGGAATCATTCCCCGCGGACAATCCTTTGATCTCAACGCGGCTTCCCGTGCAAATGGAGGTCGTGGATTCGACTGGACTGTCAATGTTCGTAGCGGCACTCAGTTCTTCTTTGTCGTCGGAGACAAGAATGGGAGTGGAAAGGGAGGGAGCTCAGATGTAACAACCATTCGAGGAGGGTCAAGTGGCTGTATCGATGCCAGTTCACCTAGCCAGACGGCAGATTCAGGGGTGGGAGGAACTGAACCACTGCCATCTTCTGGAACTACTGGCTCTGGACCAGATTCTAGTGGTTCAGGCTCGAGCTCTAGCACGACTGGTAACGGCAATGGATCTGGATCTGGCTCTGGCAGTACTGATGGAGGAGGAAATACGGACGGTGCAAGTGGCTCTACCAATGGAGGAAATCCAGGACAAGGTGGAACCAATACGGCTGGCTCAGGTGGTGGCACAGTCTATGGACCTCTTGACCCTACCTCGCCAGCACAAGCAGCCAAGTACGTAGCACTACTCTTCTGTACACTCCTTTAGTATAATCTACAGTCTCTCTTTCATATCCACTGACTCTTTTCCAGCGAATGACCATCGTCAGTCCAAACTCGGATTGATCCTGGGCCTTGTACTCGGATTATCAGGACTAGGCCTCGTCGTGGGTTCTGCTTACTCGCTTACAAACGACACAAGCGTCAAGTCGAACGACGAGACAACCAACGCGCACGTCTACTCAGCGTCAGACGTGTCGGAATACCCTACCGGCATCGTCAAATTTTCGCGATATGCCGCATACACGACCGACAGCACGATGGCCAGGGACAAGTTTGGAAAACCTGGGCTCGACATTTCGCACTACGCCATTCGTCTGGCCTCACCGGGAGTGCAAGTGGACGCGCGAGTCCAGATCCACGTCGTTTCACCCTACCTCCACCAGATCATACACGAGGGCAAGTCGACGGCATCTCACCCGACAATGTCGCTGTTGGAAGCACGACGGCCCGTCCGCAACTCGAAAATCGGGCACGAGTTCCGGAATTGCGACGTTTACGGAGTGCACGGTCTGACTCAGTTTCCATTCGGTGGGAATAGTCGCAATACAAGCAACAGCGGCTGCAAAGTCTGGCAGACGAAAACTCGACGCCAAGCAGTAACATGCGCAACGCAACGACGGGTCCCTCTTCCGGCTCGCTATCACTCTCACACCATCTCCATTTGTACCACCGCCAATAGGCCGCCTCACGATTCCAACGACTCGAGTGGCTCGTCGGCGATGAGATCACGCATCGAACACAAGAGGCCCACTCCCAAAGCTATCGGCAACACGTGAGCAATACAAGCCACGGCTCACATGGCTCGCGCTTCTCCGCATCAGGACACCCTCCCAACCAAAATCAACAACCACAACTCCCCATCCGCCAAGCGCACAAGACACGGCAGCTTATCCATCGGATGGAAATCCATTCAACGACGGGCTCGCGGTGCCGATTTCAATCGCACCTGGTCGTCTCGAGTCCACGCCACTTGGTCCGCGACCGCTCGCGGGTGCACGTGAAGATTCGTTTTCTGGGTTGAGCGCGAGTTTGCTTCGGGACCGGATATGGCGAGGTTGGGATACGGGAGTATCTGGAGATTCCGCCAACGTACAATAGCCTCGCTCGTCAACGAGGTCTTGAATGATCTTTGATGAAATGGACACCATGATTTAGAATAGTGTATTCGTAAATTGTACATGGCAACAAGGACAATGACTTTTGGGAATAGAATTGATAAATTAATCAAGCTAACAATAGGAGTAAATGGCAACAGCAGAATGCGCGACCCATGGCTCGATAGATATACTCCTCACCATGCTGTAGGTGACAACGATGCGTTCAAGGGGTTCTCGCTTCCTGGACCTCTATCGACGCGCACGTGAACTTTGATATGTATTGAATCGAGATGCCGAATCTTGTTGCGCTCACCCGATACATATCATTGATTAATGCCGTCTCGGACTTTTGTCCATGAAGGGCCACAGTGGAAATGAGCGAAGTCGAGTTTGGTCGGGTAGGGAGGGTTGGACGTTGGTAAGTTGAGGAGGAGTGGAGACGCTAATGAGAGCCGATTATCTGGTGGAACCCAAAATAGAAGCTTCCCTGAGAGATGCACCCAACCGTCATCAGAGAGAGTAAATGTTCGGAGCTGGGAAAGCATAACTTTCAATAAAGCCAGGGTATTTTGATGCGAGATAAGGCCATCCTGGATTGACTGGCTCAACTGACCATTATGGTTGGATAACTCGGCTACGGGAATTTGTAAGCTTCCGGCATCACGGGGGGAAAAGGAATGAAGAGAAGAACCAAATGCGGTGTTCCATAGTGCATTTGTGCTGCCAGCCGGAACCGACGTGATTTCCAAGCCGTCTGGTGAGAATGCAACGGCGCCTCCCAGTCTGTGTGGCCTCGGGTGGGTCTCCCAACGACTGTGTCTCCATTCCATAGTCGAATCGTATTATCATCCGAGCCAGAGACGATTCGCGAGCCGTCTGGTGAATGCGACGGCCCTGACCCAGTTTGTGTGGCCTCGGAGTGGGTCTCCCAACGACTGGCCCGTCTCCGCATTCCATAGTCGAATCGTCTTATCATCGAGCCAGAGACGATTCGCGAGCCGTCTGGTGAGAATCGACGGTGACCGAGTTTGTGTGGCCTCAGGTGGGTCTCCAACGACTGGCCCGTCTCCATCCCATAGACGAATCGTGTCATCATGTGAGCCGGAAACAATTCGCGAGCCGTCTGGTGAGAAGGCGACGGCAGTGACGGAGTCTGTATGTCCTTGAAATGGCTTTCCCAGTAACTGGCCAGTATCTACATCCCATAGTCGAATCGTTTCATCATTTCCGCCAGACGCGATTCGCGAGCCATCAGGTGAAAAGGTTATGGCCACGATGGAGCCCTTATGTCCCCAAAGTGGCTTCCCCAGCGACTGGCCAGTCTCGGGATTCCATAGTCGAATCGTCTCATCTCTGGAGCCAGAGGCAATTCGGGAGCCATCTGGTGATAACGCAACTACCCAGACGCGCCGTGTATGTCCTTGAAACGGCCTTCCCAACGGATGGCCGGTCGTTACATCCCATAATCGAATCGTATGATCGTGCGAGCCAGAGACGATTCGCGAGCCGTCTGGTGAGAATGCGACGGGTGACCAGTTTGTGTGCCTCGGGTGGGTCTCCCAACGACCCGTCTCCGCATTCCATAGTCGAATCGTGTTATCATCCGAGCCAGAGACGATTCGCGAGCCGTCTGGTGAGAATGCGACGGCGGTGACCGAGTTTGTGTGGCCTCGGAGTGGGTCTCCCAACGACTGGCCCGTCTCCGCATTCCATAGTCGAATCGTGTTATCCCACGAGCCAGAGACGATTCGCGAGCCGTCTGGTGAGAATGCGACGGCGCTGACCCAGTTTGTGTGGCCTCGGAGTGGGTCTCCCAACGACTGGCCCGTCTCCGCATTCCATAGTCGAATCGTGTGATCGTGCGAGCCAGAGACGATTCGCGAGCCGTCTGGTGAGAATGCGACGGCGGTGACCCAGTTTGTGTGGCCTCGGAGTGGGTCTCCCAACGACTGGCCCGTCTCCGCATTCCATAGTCGAATCGTGTTATCCCACGAGCCAGAGACGATTCGCGAGCCGTCTGGTGAGAATGCGACGGCCCTGACCGAGTTTGTGTGGCCTCGGAGTGGGTCTCCCAACGACTGGCCCGTCTCCGCATTCCATAGTCGAATCGTCTTATCATCCGAGCCAGAGACGATTCGCGAGCCGTCTGGTGAGAATGCGACGGCCCTGACCCCAGGCCTCTGTGTGGCCTTGGAGTGGGTCTCCCAACGACTGGCCCGTTTCCCCATTCCATAGTCGAATCGTGTTATCCCACGAGCCAGAGACGATTCGCGAGCCGTCTGGTGAGAATGCGACGGCGGTGACCCGGTTGTGTGGCCTCGGTGGGTCTCCCAACGACTGGCCCGTCTCCGCATTCCATAGTCGAATCGTATGATCATGAGCCAGAGACGATTCGCGAGCCGTCTGGTGAGAATGCGACGGCTGACCGGGTTTGTGTGGCCTCGGTGGGTCTCCCAACGACTGGCCCGTCTCCGCATTCCATAGTCGAATCGTCTATCATCCGGAGCCAGAGACGATTCGCGAGCCGTCTGGTGAGAATGCGACGGCCCTGACCGAGTTTGTGTGGCCTCGGAGTGGGTCTCCCAACGACTGGCCCGTCTCCGCATTCCATAGTCGAATCGTGTGATCGTGCGAGCCAGAGACGATTCGCGAGCCGTCTGGTGAGAATGCGACGGCGCTGACCCAGTTTGTGTGGCCTCGGAGTGGGTCTCCCAACGACTGGCCCGTCTCCGCATTCCATAGTCGAATCGTGTTATCCCACGAGCCAGAGACGATTCGCGAGCCGTCTGGTGAGAATGCGACGGCCCTGACCGAGTTTGTGTGGCCTCGGAGTGGGTCTCCCAACGACTGGCCCGTCTCCGCATTCCATAGTCGAATCGTGTGATCGTGCGAGCCAGAGACGATTCGCGAGCCGTCTGGTGAGAATGCGACGGCGGTGACCGAGTTTGTGTGGCCTCGGAGTGGGTCTCCCAACGACTGGCCCGTCTCCGCATTCCATAGTCGAATGGTATGATCGCCCGAGCCAGAGACGATTCGCGAGCCGTCTGGTGAGAATGCGACGGCGGTGACCGAGCTTGTGTGGCCTCGGAGTGGTTCTCCCAACGACTGGCCCGTCTCCGCATCCCATAGTCGAATCGTATTATCATACGATCCAGAGACAATGCGTGAGCCGTCTGGTGAAAATGCGATTGCCGTGACTATTTGTATGTCCCCGAAGCGCTTCTGGAAGTCCCCGGTATGTCTTCTCCAGCCCTCTAGTCACTTTGAGTGTTCTTATACATATCTAACCCCTCAATATGCAGATGCGATTCTGTAGGTGTGAACGGAAGCGCCGAGATGTAGATATGCGGAGCACTCTCTTGAATAGTACTGAAAATGCCATCATAAACCGCATCACTTCACTTATGCGGCTCTTAGCCTCTTTTCAACCTTTCCTTTGTTAAAAATGCGATATGTGAGGCGAGCCACTCACAGTATTGCGCGTCACAGCTCGGAGCCCACTGATAGCTCTAGCCACGCCTCCAACAAGGCTTAGGATCTCCATCCAATATAGTACATGTGGAATTCGAATAATCTCTTGCAGTTTATTTCTGAGCTGGTGTCTCCATTTGCTATCCGTTTCGGCCATATGAAACGGCCAGTGTAAACTCGCATATCGAACGTTCATTCTGATGAACTTTGATATTCTTGCCTCTAGATCCGGCATCTCTCTGTTTCGATAGAAGGACGACTCGATTTCACATATATTGAACTTGAGGCCTTCCTTCGGTGCTTGAAGATTATTGAAACCCCACGATGCAATTTGACCGTGCGCATTGGCGATATCTATATACATTCCACTCGGCTCTTTGAGGTCTGGGCCTAGACAGCGCCGTCGCAGATATTCCACAAGAGTAGGGTGACGAAACTGAATGACTTTTGTTGCTTCATCTTCGATAAGAACACTTCCAGTTTCGAATCAACCCTGGAATTTCCCCGTAGTCTGCTATGCGAGAGAATATTATCAAGATCCTCGGCGGTAAGTGGTTCGAATGCAGCGAGGAGTAGCAAGCATGCTCCACATGATGGTATGGTATTTGGGATCTGTCCTCTCGAAGATGAGTTTGTATACCTCGTCGATCTCTCCAGTTTGGTCCGCTAGACCAACGAATATATATGCTCTCAGGCGCTTCCCATGTCGTTTCATTGTTGATCATCCGACATGCGGTACTGGCAGATGAACAACCCGCTCGACTTCTCAATCAGCCGTTGCCTCTTGTCCTGGGGCAGAACGGTGTAGAGTGAT